TTAGTAACTAAGTTTGAAAATGTTCGTTCAATTAAATCAATATTCTTAAGGGTAGATTCTGCTAATTCTATAATTCTGGTGAGTTCTCTCAATATATATGTTAAATGACACTGTACCCGAAATCTAGCATTTCGATTTTGCAGGGAATATCTCTTAATCTCGTCGGTAATACCATAAGCAGTGTCATGGAATATTTGTATTTCAGACTCCATACTGAAGAAAATAATAAATTTTTAACTTAAAATATTAATTTTATTACCTTATAAATATGTTCAACGTCTTCCACTACTCCAGACAAATCTAGAAATATATGATATGTCTAGGAAATTATTAATAGAAATAGAGAAAAATACAACTTTCGTAGAGGTCAATCCGATAATAATACAAGTTGAGCCCCCTTATAACACTGTTGATAATTCCGTTTTATATGATTTCCATGTTGTACGAGTCACTCAGATTTTACAAATACGTGAGCCGTTCACAGCCAGGCACACATATTTGTAAAATTTAAGTGACTCGTACAACATGGAATTCATATAAAACGGAATTATCAACAGTGTTATAAGGGGGCTCAACTTGTATTATTATCGGATTGACCTCTACGAAAGTTGTATTTTTCTCTATTTCTATTAATAATTTCCTAGACATATCATATATTTCTAGATTTGTCTGGAGTAGTGGAAGACGTTGAACATATTTATAAGGTAATAAAATTAATATTTTAAGTTAAAAATTTATTATTTTCTTCAGTATGGAGTCTGAAATACAAATATTCCATGACACTGCTTATGGTATTACCGACGAGATTAAGAGATATTCCCTGCAAAATCGAAATGCTAGATTTCGGGTACAGTGTNTGTTGATTTCTACCCCAGACTCCTTCTAGAATCTCAATCACACCACGATGTCTACCATCATTAGAAAGTTTTGTATATTGAAGATTCGACCGAAAATGTCGGATGTCTTGTTTAGTCTACTAAATTATCATGCATTTTGTTAAATACTAAATAAGTAAGTGTACTTTGAAAGTTACACGAGATGGCTGTACACTACACTCTATGGCAGAATAGCCAATGAATCCAATTTCAAGGTCGGAACTCTCGTTTGTTCTTATTAATGTAGCGTAACTGATGGACAACATTTATGAATGTATTTTAAAATTTTTATAAATTTTCTGTAGCTATATAAACAGAATTTGTGAAAATTCTTCGGTTCAATTCACGGAATTTCGTGATATTTTTAAGAGGATGTTACGGGATTGCATTAAATTTATACGGAACATTGCAGGATTTGATGAACTGTTACGGAGGAATTGCAGGATTTGATGAAACTGTTACGGAGGACTTGCAGGATTTGATGAAACTGTTTTGGACTCGTTGCAGGATTTGATGAAACTGTTATGGAGGTGTTATTGGATTTGATAAAACCTCTTACGGTGGCGTTACAGGAGGTCAGAAAACTTTTTCTTAAGTAATACACAAGATTCGGTAAAATTTTTTCGAAGACGTTGGAGAATTTCATAAAACGTTATAGGTTTTGATGATAGTTTTTCTGAGACTTTGAAAGATTTGATGAAACTATTTATGGAGCATCACAGGATTTCATTAAATTTTTGCAGAGGAGTTAGAAAATTTCATAAATTGTTTATGCAGATATTAGAGATTTGTCAAAATTTTTGCAGTTTCGAACAGGATTTGGTGAACTTTTTGCGGCAGGGTAAACGAAATTCATGAAACTTCAGTTAAACGTTATAGGATTTGATGAAGATTTCACGGTTTAACTAACAGGGTTTATTTATCTTTTACTATTGTTTTGACAAGATTTGATGCATTCGGAGAAATTTTCTTTAATAGATGTGAGAAACGACATTTTTAACTGTGGTTAAATGGTGTCCATTCGTTACAAAATCGAGGGGTAGAATAACACTCAGCAGTTTTGGATGTTAGTACTGAAATTGTATCCTGACCCTTTTGTAATAATACGATAAATAGTTCAAAACATTAAGTATTATATATTAGATTGAAATACGTTACGAATCTGTCTGGGAAGAAAGAAGCTGCTATGGGAACTTAATCACGACTCATAATGCAAAATACATTCCACCAACGTCGAGATTTAGACTTTTTCTTCTCTTTTTTCTCCACTTCCTCCACTTTCACTTTGTTATCCACCAGGACTAAACGTGTGGTGCTCAAAGTGTATTAATCGATTGTATCATTCGAGGAAGGAATAAGAATCTCTTGCTTTTGGGCAGAGATGAGAATTCTACTTATTATTTGTTCAATCGTTTCATTTTGATTTTGCTCAGGAAACCGATAAATTGAAAACTTCATCAGGAACCTTGTCAATCGCCTCAACTTTTCTATAGGCGTCTCGTCCGGATTCTCTGTTTGGTGTAGAACGAAAATGTTGTCATTCGTCAGCTGTTTAGAGAACCAAGTTGTTTTCCATATTGAGAAATGCATGCTGTCCATGCACGGTTTATCACATAATTCGCCTAAAAATGAAATGCACGGCCNGAAATTATTAATAGAAATAGAGAAAAATACAACTTCCGTAGAGGTCAATCCGATAATAATACAAAGTTGACCCCCCTATAACACTGTTGATAATTTGTTCAACGTCTTCCACTACTCCAGACAAATCTAGAAATATATGATATGTCTAGGAAATTATTAATAGAAATAGAGAAAAATACAACTTTCGTAGAGGTCAATCCGATAATAATACAAGTTGAGCCCCCTTATAACACTGTTGATAATTCCGTTTTATATGATTTCCATGTTGTACGAGTCACTCAGATTTTACAAATACGTGAGCCGTTCACAGCCAGGCACACATATTTGTAAAATTTAAGTGACTCGTACAACATGGAATTCATATAAAACGGAATTATCAACAGTGTTATAAGGGTTCAACTGTACTATATTCAATATTAATTAACAATACTATTGTTATTCCTATAGAGAAGTCTATGTTGATCTATAATTAGCATATAGAGGCAGAAATTACGATTATAGATTTAACTCTGATAAACTTACACATAAATCTAATAGTGAAAGGGGGAGTCGAGCGTGAAGAATTCAATATGATGCTCTAAATTAATTACATTTAATTTTCAGATAATTTCTTCACATCTTTATAGCTTAATCTGTGTTATAAAAGTTAATATTTAAACGTAAAATAAAGAAAATCTTTGCAATTTAATGTAGGAAAATATCCTTCGTGTTTATTATCATTATTTTTCATGGAAGATATCACTTAAATTTATTATTTATTTATTTATTATTACTTATTTGAATAATGCATAATAGTTATATATTAATTTTACGAAACGAACTGAAAATTTTCTTTTAATATTCCCAAATTTAATGTATTCTTCTTTAATTTTTTTTATGAGAAAACAAGAGATAAATCTCTCGTAATAATAAAAGTAATACTTGAATATTAAACACAATAACAATAGGAAATTCTTTATTAAAATCGACCAATATTTTAATAATACACTTTCTAGAAATATTTAATAAAAAAGTTATAGCAAATGATCTAATTTTCTGCAATACAATCATGATTAAACACATATTTAAAAATCTTATATTTATATAACCATATTATAAATTAAAAAAAAGAAATTTATTATTATTATTATACAAAGATTTCTATATTTTAAACCTCGTATAAGTTTGAAAAATTTATAATTATTTAAAATATACATCGCACGTAATATATTCATGTATGAATACTAAGTGGGAATATTGTTAATGAGCAAACATCTCTTAATGTACTGTACAAATCGCGTATCCACCCAAAAAATATAACGAGGAATACAGAGAAAATTATGTTTGTCCGAAATGAGATCCGAACCCACGCCTTCCGATAACAAATTACATGATTAACGATCTGGCATGTTGTGAAAGTCTGGATTCTGACACTAGACACATTATTATGTCTGAATCTCGGTACCTTTCTGTGAATGATTACAGATTTATAAATTAGAATTAAACTTTTAACATAGTTTATTAATATAAAATCGCATTATAAACTGTTTAGATAATTTATTATTTATTAATCTTTATGTATAACTTATATTATAAATTTATCTTCATTTTAGCATTTACCATATTGTATAAACGAGAAATTATTTCGGTACAATGCCGGGCGCAATTTTTAATCATATTTTTTAAAATTTATTTAATTTAAAATATATGCTCTCCACCTCATATTAGTGTATTGCCCCTGTAAATCATACTTTCCCTATTAGCAAGTGAATCGTGCAGGTCATCTATTCGAGAAGGGGGGTTGTTTTTTAATTGAAATAACGTGAATAAGAAATTTATATGAAATTAAACGGGTTCACCTGCCCCTAAGGTTTCAATATCTGGTCTCGAGTTTCATTTATCTAATACCGTTCTCGAGATTAAGGAAAGACAGACAGACGGACGACAGTGGTAATGTATAGGTCTACAATCTTTTCAAAATTACAACCCAATAAGAAAATATTTAGGATGAATCTTTATAAATAATTTATATATAAATGTAATGTATTAAAGACACGTCTGTTGTAATATGAATACATTTATAAATTTCATGAAAAAGTTTTAAAGTATTAGACTAAATAAATTATATAAGAAAATAACATTCAAAGTAATCAAAAATTTAGTGAAAGTAGCCAAAATATTTACTAATGTTACACTTGTACAAAACAAAATTCCATTTAATTATAGAGATAGAAGCTAGAAAGGTTTTCTCGTATATCTCATCTTTAAGAACTATAAAAGTATAATAAATAAAATAAGTAGCTTTTGGTATTAAAATTCCCTAAGAAAATCATAGAAAATCGATAGTTTTTCGAGTATAACGAATAGAACACGTTCATTTCCTTACGAGATTCGTGCCAATGAATGTAGACCGATCACGCAACATCCAATAGACTACTATAAAAATTGATAGATGAAAAAAATATTTAAAAAANGTAATAGGTGTGAGAAACGACGTTTTTAACTGTGGTTAAATGGTGTCCTTTCGTTACAAAATCGAGTGGTAGAATAACACTCAGCAGTTTCGGATGTTAGTACTGAAATTGTATCACGACCTTTTTGTAATAATACGATAAATAGTTCAAAACATTAAGTACCATATATTAGATTGAAATACGTTACGAATCTGTCTGGGAAGAAAGAAGCTGCTATGGGAACTTAATCACGACTGCAGCAAAATACATTCCACCAACGTCGAGATTTAGACTTTTTCTTCCCTTTTTTCTCCACCTCCTCTACTTTTACTTTGTTATCCACGACGACTAAACGTGTGGTGCTCAAAGTGTATTTATCGATTGTATCATTTGAGGAAGGAATAAGAATCTCTTGCTTTTGGGCAGAGATGAGAATTCTACTTATTGTTTGTTCAATCGTTTCATTTTGATTTTGTTTAGGAAACCGATAAATTGAAAACTTCATCAGGAACCTCGTCAATCGCCTCAACTTTTCTATAGGCGTCTCGTCCGAATTCTCTGTTTGGTGTAGAATGAAAACGTTGTCATTTGTCAGCTGTTCAGAGAACCAAGTTGTTTTCCATATCGAGAAATACATGCTGTCCATGCACGGTTTATCACATAATTCGCCTAAAAATGAAATGCATGGCCGAACATTTGGAAAGCGTTCGGTTTGCAGCGTGTTGTGCATATCCCACCAACGCGATAGGTCGCGCATTTTTGTCATTTCGGCGGAATTCAATTTATGGGAATCTGTGTCAAACATGTTATCTGCTGTAGGCGACAGCAAGCTTATACTCAAGCTTCGATCTAGCGGAGAGGTCATAATGTCACCGCCCGATAAGACCACTGGAAGATCTGCAATCCTGCACTCTTCCTTTCCCACAGTATGGGCCGAATTGTCTATATCGCCTTCCATTGGGTGAACTTTTGTTCCACGGCATAATAGCCTCCAATTCTTAAAACTCTTCTTTCTATAGGAAAGACGAGAAACAATTTCTTTTATTTCAATGAATAAATTTTAAATTGAATGATAATTTCAAAACAAAAATGTCATATTTCATAAATCAATATTTATCACACACGTAATCAACGTTTGGTTAAAATTTATATAAGTTATATATGTGTATTCATGTTTAAATGCTATTCCTCGAGCCTATCTGTAAGCACAAAACTCTTTCCGATTGCTGCCCTTACTAGATGTTTTTTGATTGTTGTAGCTAAAAGGGAGATCTAGTGATAAATCTGTAGCGTGTGTAAACAGACTTTATGGTATTCTATTCGATGAATATCATAAAGAATTTATTGCCTATTTTATTATGAAAGAAAAAAAGAACCAATAAAATTTCTAAAATACTTATCTAAGCACAAGTTTAGATAACTATTTTGATCAAGTCAATTATCAAGTTTCGGTCGTAAAATGAGTAATTGAATTTAAAGCATAAGAAATTTGTTTAAAAAGTTATCCAAATCATTTAAAACTATTAATAATTAGAGAGGCCAACGAATCCTTTATTTATAACATCAGAGACAAAATGACGAAGGCGCAGGTCTATACTACGAAGACAAATGGTTTCGGATAAATCGAAACAGACAATCTCCATCGGATTTGCTTGGTTGAATTTAAGACAAATGATAACATGGTGATCTGCGGAATACTTTCTATGTAAAAGTGGTTCGTTTTAAATTTTAGAAAGTATAAAGAAACCAGAAGAATTTTGAAATGCCAAGCCGAAACCGTTGCTAACTAACTACTTGTATTTAATGGTTTCATCCAATCTTTTCACTGATGGAGATAGTCGCCATCGGAAGACGGGACTTTTAAAACTAGAAATATTGTCATTTAAACTTACTTAAAAATGAAAGAAAACATCCTTTTCTTAAAATCGCCAAACGAACAAGATAATCGCATTCGCTCGCAAGAAAGAACGAACCAACAATGGTTTAGTTTTATTGTTAGTTGGGAATTGTTGAAGAGATCGCTACGTCATTCGTCCTTAAAATATGCATAAACGAGAAGAAAAGAAGGCATTTTTGTGTATAAATCGCGATTTCTTTTACAATTAGCAAAACTTATTTAAAAATGTAAAGTTTTAGTGCTTTCTTTTTATTTTATTGGCTTGAATGGTATTTTCTTCAAATGTAATGTTCATCTAACTTTTTCATTTGTAGAACAGGAGTCTTTAAATGAAATTGTTTTCACTCACACCGACACACGAAAAAGCTAATTTTAACAAAATAAATCCATAGATTTGAATAGCTTCTCAAGCTGAAATAAAGCTTATTGTTCTTCAATACAATTGCAGTTTACTGTCTGTAAAAGTTACGTTGTTATCTTTATTTTGAAGAGAAGAGTAAAAAAATCGCGAAATTTTTGAAGGGTCTATGAAACGTCATGAAAAGGGGAGTGGGACAAAACATTTTCAAATTTAGAGCACATTGTTTACGGAATCTCTAAGATGAAAATTTAATATGTCCTTACATTACGAAAGATTTCAATATATTTGCCCAATAAGATACTTTAAAATATTAAGACAGAATTACTAGACAGTGTTTTATTTATATAGACTATGAACACACAGGATGTGACATACGAACCTCCGCTATATATTATCTACACTATATATACACTCTTTGAAGTATATATAAGCATTGACAGATTCTCAGAAAGGAAAGGTTCAGTTATTATTGTTTTCATTCATCAATTGCCTACCATGTAAAGTAAGTTTTTAAAAAAGTTAGATTTTCCTATAAACCTGATTTAAGGCACATCTGATTTGTAAGTAAGTGGAATGGTAAAATTTCATTCAAGGCAATGTCATATGTCGCTTTCTTCGAAATGATATAACAGCTTTAAATCATCTTTTCTCTGAAGCTCCCATAGGTTTACTAGATGATGGCAGTCCTTCATTTTCAAGAACATCTGGACTTAGCTTCACTATTTTTTTTTAAGTGAGATGGAGAGGATCAGCAAACACTTTTATTACACTTCCATCATCGTTCAATTCAAAATAAGTTCTTCTTGTAGTTCTATTTACTTTCACATTTACAGCATTCCAAAAGGCACGTTGTAGGAATTCGTCTGACACAACGACTACCACATTTAAGCCAATAGTTTTCAAGTGTTCAATTATACAAAACAAAAAATTTTTAATATCTTCACCTTTTGTTGAAAATGCAGTTGCACGGTAGGCGATAACTTGTTTCCAAGATGTTGAGAAACCTCTGACGAGGAACACTAATATATGATTTGCTTTTACAGAAGTGTTTCCAATAGCTCAACAAAAGACTTATACTGTTTACTTTAAGTTTGTGCCTCCTGAACTTCTATTTCATCAAAAGATATTGCATAGATTTTTTCAACCGATTTCATCAGTGACACTTTTTGTTGTAAATAGGACCACAAACAAGTTAAACGTTTAACCCCTGATACTTGATTTTGATTGCTATTTCCAAATAATGTTGGGACAGCATCAGGGCTTAAATTTCTCTTCCCATCCATTCTATTATTTCGTAAACTACATTAACCATATAATTTCCTATGTATTCATCCTTGATTGGTCTTTTTCACTTAATCTACCTTTATCTTGGTATATTAAATAAAATTATTCTTAATTAAAACTTTATTAATTAAAAGATATTTAATAATTTTCCCCTTATTCTAATAAATAATCTACTGATATTATGCAAATGAATATAATAAATGAGTTTAAAGTGCTCTGTATGAATGCAACATGAAAGCAAAGGTGAAAATATTTCGGTAAATACTAAATAAGAATTTTTAGTGAAAATTTTTAATTGTTTTAATCTCAGACAATTTATCTGACGATATTTAATTAGAAATTAATTGGTAAAGTATTGTTATATGTATCAATTGAAGGATATTTGGCAGGTATGCTTCGTGTAAGCGTTATCGTCGTAATTCGTTTCCAAAGAAAAATTTGTTAGAAACAATAATTGAATTAGTATCCAGATTTGATGTTCCGCTGAGTCAAATAGACACATCAAACACGGAACTGAATGACCCATCAGTCGATATAATTGAAAGATATTATAGAAGAATTGACTCTCCGAAAAGAAATTATGGAAAAAGTCAACCGATTGCATTTTATGTAGCTACAAACATAATTTAAAAAAAAAAATGAATGTTTGTATTAATAATTTTGGATTAATAAAGGTTAATTATTTCTTTAACTTGCATCTGCTGAAAGAAAACTTTCTATTTAATATTCTCTATAATTTTCTATTGAAGTATAGTCATAGGCTACGCTCGAATCTTAAAACCTATTTCCTTATCATATAACAATGAACGGTGTTTTCTTTTTAATTTCTTTGGTATTAATTTTAATTTCTTAATTTTATATTTTACAAAAAAACACTTTCAATAAATTTAATTTTATTGTAAAACTAAAATATATAGTCTACGTATGAATTTTGAAAAATGACAATTTAATCTTGTTATCACTTTAATATACAACTGACAATAATAGTAATCCTGCAGTAAATAATACGTTCTTCTGAATTTCATATTGACGTCGAAATCCCGCTAAAATATATATATAAATGTATATAATATAATACACTTTTATATCAAATTATTACTTACATGTGGGCATAGATGATGATTCAATTTTTATGCACTCAAACGTTTCTTTCGGTACTATTTTACTGCTTTTATCTATAAAAAAAAAAGTTAATAATAATTTATAAAACGTTAAATATACAGTCGACCTAATAACACTGTTGATTATTCCGTTTTATATGAATTCCACATTGTACGAGTCACTTAGATTTTACAAATACGCGTGCCGGGCTGTGAACGGCTCACGTATTTGTAAAATCTAAGTGACTCGTACAACGTGAAATTCATATAAAACGGAATAATCAACAGTGTTATAGGGGGGTCGACTGTATTCTTTTGAAAAACAATTCGATATTTAATATTTACCACAAACCATTTCTTGGTTGCAAGTAAAATTAGCTGGACAATTAGAACATACTTTCCCTATCTTAAATGGGGGCATATTCATATCCATTCTAATTTAAAATTAAATACAGTATATTATTACAACTTAATAAAAATTTCGTTGCTTATTGGATAATGAATATGAAAATAAAACTTTTAATTCATTAAATTATTAAAATTATAGAAATATAACTAATCAAAACTATAAAATAATAGAAGAAATTTGGAAAATGATACAATGAGTAAGCCTACTTACGGTGGATAAAAATTGCAAACCATTAAATATTTGTATCCTAATTTCTCACAAGATGATTTTGAACAACCTATAGCGTATGCTTCCGCCCACATCATCTGATAAATTGATAAATTAATATTAAAAAAAAAAAAAAACATCGAATGAGTTAGATTCTAAGATTGATACTGTATTTGTAATATTGTTTTTCCTTACCAGCTTATATTCGTCACAAGGACCTTTACAACTGTTATTTAAATGATCGTAGAAGAATTTCTGTGATTTCCAACTTTTAAATATATCTTCATAACTATTAGAAAATAGTCCTCGACTCTGATTATAAAAATTATTACAGGTTGACGGACCGAATTTCATTTTACACTGATCGCCCCAATCCTTGGCCAGTTTTGCTAATTCATCATTCCATACCTAAATATAAAAATTATATATGTTAAATTGTAATTTACATTATTAAAACGTTACATTGGATTTAGATTTTTATTGGCATAATGTCAGGTATACATTTAAGCAAGCACACAATGAGGCATGAAGAGGTTTCATGAGCACGTTAGCATAGACCCGGGTCTGAAGCATTGCAAGTTTAATGGAGTTTTTCGACCAACAGCCTCGTGCCGAGCCAAGCATTTTCCGTCAATCAAAAAGAATTCCTGCTCGGTGTAGTTGTATTTTAGCATACATTTGAATATCAGTCACGCTCGCTCACGAATGGAATCATTTGTCTTGACATTCGACGTCGGGCACTCCAGTCTGTAGCCTGAGGCAAAATGAGGTAATTCGCGCGGTCTCGACCTGCCTCATCCGTATGCGTGATCAAATATGTACTGTACTGTACGTACTCGTGCTCAAATGAGCATAAAGCAACGTAACACGTAGGCGATCTGCCAAAAAGGGGTTATCTTCTGGAAGGACTTTCTATGAGATTATGTTCTTTATTTAGGTATTACACACTTGAAAAAAACATGGCAAATTCCATGCGGCCAGTCTATTGGTTAGACACGAACCCAGAGGCGGATCTACATAGGGACTAATAGGGCTTAATTAAAAGGACTTAAAAAATCGTGCCCTATTGGACTTCAATAAGCCCTATGCTTTGAAAAACCTAGATCCGCCCCTGCACGAACCCACGACTAACTATTAGTGTTCGGTGGTTTTATCCTATTCGGCCAGTTATGAGCACTTATTCGTTTTATTTGTCTATTTTCTTTTTTTAAATACAAATTTTGGAACATAAATATAGATTTAATTATCACATACCGGTTTTACCAGGTTCGAAATATTATATCCGGACCACGTATCCTTAACAGAATAGAATTCATTTAGAATATCTTCTTCTTCTATTTGATTGAATCCACTGTATTTTATCTTTTCTTTATCATCGTACAAACTTGATTGAAGAGCATTTGTTTTTGAATTATTTTTCTTAACAGCAATACCTTGCATTGAATTAATCATTTGTACGAAAACTATTGACCAAATCCACAAGATAAAGATGGCTTCAACCATTTTCTCCAATAATTGATGTATTTGTTAAATTATTTTAAATAGATAATTGCAAATTTTTTAATATAAATATATATAGTCTTTTCTTTTACTTCAGAAAGTTTTAATAAAGTTATTTTCTCCAGACAATTATTTCATTAAAACGAATCGATAGAGAATACGATCCTGTAAAATACGAATTTAAAATTATGAAGATCACGTGCGGTGTTTAGGCCAATCAGATTTAAAGCTAGTGGTTACATGAGTGAGATGTCACTGTCATCGACTGTCGTCATCACAAACGTCACCAAAACTTTGTCACATGACTTGATTGATGTATAGCAGTTTCTCTAGATCTTGCTCAACGTCGACGTTCAATATTTTTACATAAAGTTACTTGAATGAGTAGACTAAAAGATAGGTAGTACACTAGTTCAAATGGTGGCCGAATAGTTAAGGTGGTAGCCTATCGCTCCGGAGGATCCGGAATCGATTTCCGATGATTCATCCGGATATACTCGATCCCTACTACCCAGCTGTTCCATTGTGCGCCTGATTGAAACAGAATGGACTTGCTAAAATAGCGGAAAAAGCTTTAAAAAAAATCATAGTTATTTAGTGCAGCCATTAATTGATAATAATTATAAGACGGTCGGTAAGATGGATAAGAATTAGGATTGAATTAATATAACCAATTTTTATATATTTAATATCATCTACACAATTACAGATAAACTAATTATCTGTAATAACATAATTTATTCGCAAGTGAGGTATTTTTGTTCTATTAGACAACGAGCCTGGTGATTTCGTGCTCGTAGTCTTTTCGTTTCTACTCCAGGAAATCTGTGTCCATCTCTGCGCCTAGAAGCGCCTGAAGCAGGCGAATCTGCCATCTTTCAGGCGCTTCTTTAATTCATTGAACATATGAAAATTGCTTCATTAATTAAATGTCTGGACTGTAGAGTGAAATCCGGATATATAGTTTAGTGTCAATGTTGTCTGACTGATATTTTTAGAATATAGGTTAGAGTTTAAATGAGAACTTTTCATAACTAATCAGGCACAGTTATGTCAAATTCCATTCCCAGACCGGGCCGCGTTATGACAGACTGGTAAGAATCTGCAATGCCAGGCCCCAATGAGTAAACCAGTGGTCAAGTTGATAATACCTCTGATGGTGGTAATGGTCAGGGTTTGCGCCTGACCAACGGACGGGCTGCGTGAAGCTTTCTGGGTTTCATTCAGATATTAATCACTTAAATAGTAATCAGTTTTCCGTAGAAGTCCTTCCGAAAAGCACCATCTTGGCATATCACACAAATGCTGCGTTTCTTTAGCCATAAGTCTTAAAGTTGTAAAGTTCTCTTGCATGTTTTTTTTTTTTTTTACCTCTTTCCGCCCTGTGGGCACTAAGAGGGCCTCTTTTTGCAAGCCCATTATGGGTTCGGCCAGGCCCATAATGGGGCTGCCGGGTGGTGAGGGACGGGGTCCGACATATCCGAGCGGACCACCCCCGAAAAATTCCTGGGGATTTTTCGACCCGTCTCTTACATGTTGTAAAGTTCTCTTGGTGCTTACAGTATCTTTGTTTATTAAGTTACGGCAACGCAACACTTGGGCGATCTGCCTAGAGGGAAATCTTCCGGGAGGTATTTTTAAGGGTAACTGGCTCCTATTCAGGCGTTACAGATGGAAAACTCCACGTGGCCAGCCCGTCCTGGCGAGGCGCAAACCCATGGCCGAACTCCCAGTGTTCGGGGAACGGAAACTCTTGGTCACTTTTTTAAATATTTTTTCCGCCCTGTAGGCACTAAGAGGGCCTCTTATAGCAGGGCCATTATGGGTTCGTCCAGGCCAACAATGGGGCGGCCGGGTGGTGAGGGATGGGATTCGACATATCCGAACGGACCACCTCTTGAAAAATTCCTGGGGATTACTTAACCAGTCCGGATTCGATCCCAAGTCACCCAAGGCGGTAGGCTGCCACCTTGACTACTCGGCCATCCGGCCTACTCGCTTGGCCACTGTGGGCCTAGTGCTTATAGGAAAGAAGCATAGAAACATTTATTAGTACTAAAAATCAATAACTACTTTCATTAACAAAATAAATTAAAATAATTTATTATTTTTTTAAAATAAATGAATAGTTATATAATATTATTTTTGAAAATACGATTAATTATTTCTGTGTACGATATCGATTATTCTCGATGACATTTTAATAGATTAAAAACGGATATAAAATATTATTTAACTTTAATAAAATTAAAATTTACTAAAAAAATTATCAAATTAATTTAAAAATAAATATTTAAAAAATTACAAAGATTGTAAAATTTTTATTTAAATAAATTGAAATATTACAATTGGAAGTATGAATAATCACAAATCGTAAATAAATAAACATTTATTAAAATAATTCAAAATTAGATAATAATAATAATTATTATTATAAAACGTAAAAATTTAATTAATCGAGTTATAATTTATAAAATGAAATAAATTAAATTTGTTTTATTTAATATATAATATACATCAGACGACGAACTAGTGCGGACCTGTCATTCCGCCATTGCTTCCTAATCGACGTCAACGTTTAGTAGAAGTCAATGATAAATTTTAATTTAAATACAATTTCTAGGTGTGAAGCCAGCTAGTCAATAAAGACTGAATAGTGAAATAATTCTTTATGGTTGGATATAAGTGCTAGTCTAAATAATACATCGCAATCGATATATTTTTAAGTTTATGAATTTTATTAAATAAGCACGAAGGTGGGCATGAAATCTAAAATATTAGGCTTAGTAATATTGGTGATTTTTTGTTTTGGACGAACAGAAAGTGACGAACACTCCCATCGGGTAGGTTTTTCATTTCTTTAATTATATATAATACATTTTTTATGTAACTGATTGTATCAATGAATATATATATATCTTCAATGGTAGTCATGGATGTATCATACACCATTAGTTAGGATTAATATCAATGATTGAAATTATACATATCAATATAGAAAATAATTATGAATTAGGTAAGAATTTATGGACAATTTTTTATCATTTATTAGATTTGCTAAAAGTATAAACCTTTAAATATTTGCTGTTTGTAAAAGTAAAAGGTAATAGAGAAATAGCCGTTGGAAGCGTTCGGAAGACTCGACAGTTGTAACTGGGCAAATTGGTACTGTTACGTAGTGACGTGGATCTGCTGAGTGATGGGTGACGTTGAGCTGAAACAAAAAGCATTGTGTTGGTCAGTTTTAGGTAGTGTAAATGTGGTGTCGAAATGCCAAACGTGTTCCGAAAGAGTGCTACCGTAGAGGGTATCTGGCAGAAAAATACTGGATGGCTCTGGAACTATTGTCTGCCAAATGCAGCCATTATTAGCTCTTGTTTTTTATATTTTTATATGATCAGAACTTTTGTATATCATTTCCAAATACATTATATCCAACATTATAAAGGATTTCGTAATTAGTTAATGTTGTTATATTCAATTCAACCTATGAGTTATTGTTTTTTGAGTAGTTTGATGACTGTCTTATGATGTTAATGCTTGTTATAATAATTGTTTATTATAAAAGTGTGGTTGTACAATATAATATTGATTTTATACTTTTTTTTATAAAATCCAATAATTAGTTTTCATCATAAATTACTGGTATTAATGATAACCTTTAAAGAACCTTTAAATCCGGCAACAAAACGTTTAATAAAACATCCAGCAAATGCTTTCGACCTTACCCGAGGTTTGCTTCTGGTTAGAGAACGATCAAATCATTTAATATTTATCTTATATACTAGTACTTTATCAATTATTGAATTAAGATATAGGACACAAAGGCATAATAATGAAACAATCAAATCAAATTCCAAAATTGGAATGCTTAGAACAGAACATTTTTTAAACATTAAATTTAAAACATTTAGAATATATAAAACAAACACAAACTTAATGGTGGCAAATACATGAATTCAACATATACATATAAGGCAACCCATGTTTACCTATTATTTGAGGGTCCCACATAACTGTAAATAATATAAATTGAATGTGCATTAGCGTTGCTGTCTTCCTCACACAATGCCAGGCATACAATAATATGTTAACATCCTTAAAATTGATGCACTTGCCTGTTGGTCTGGCCTTCTATATTTCTAGGGCCGTAATGTGGTCGGTATGAAAGGACCATTTTATTAGCCCCATGCTAGGAAGGTCAGCATGCACTTCTGGGTTGGTGGTGTAATTAGTTTTTCATTATTATATTTTACTTATATATCATCTACACAATTAGTTATTTAATATATGTGCAAAAATGCAAATAATATTTTTCAGGAAATATTTTATTTTTTCATGCTTTTATACACCTGTATACAGATTTAGGAGATAAATTAAAATTCAAATCATAAACTAGAGTATAGATTTTATAACCTGGTAACTTAACATTTTAATTACATAGATGTTTTTTTTAATTATAAATACAATTGAATGCTTTTGAAATTCTAAATACAGTTCAGAAATATTACCCCAATGATTATGGCAATTGTTAATTATGTCAGTGGTAACAGTAGATATTGATAAATTTTTGAATGCAAGATTCAACTTTCAGTTACTTAACATAGTGAACTAGCAAGAAGGTGACAATGACAAATTCATTAATGTATTTCATATTGTGACAATTTCCTGAAAGCTTCTCAGAATGTATAATTTTACTGTTTTGTAAAGTGTTTGACTTAAACTTACAACACTAACCTTCATCTATTAGATGCCATTTTTGGCTATCAAGTAACTGTTTCCAGAGTGGTGAGTTCATTAGTCACCAGTAGATTACCAGACTATTATTGGTAATGTTTTTGAATAATATCCACTAATTTGTCAGTGTCACTGGTCTCATCAGTTAGTATTTTTGAACATATCCTTATATTTTAAAAAAATTCATATATTATAATAATTAAATATTTACCTTAAGTATGTTTTTTACTATTGCAACACAAAAAGAATACATACAATATTCTTTTTATGTTTGGTATTTTAATATCTGTTTTGTTTTTGTGTAAATCCATTAATGTTATATAATATTGTGATTAAAATTTGTTTTTCTTATGTATTATCTTTCTTTTTCAAATCTTGACTGATATGAGTTATTAATTGAATTAGTTTTCAAGATCTTGATTTTACTAAAATATAATATATTACATTTTCATAACTATTTAATTGGATTTTGATAAATGAAAAAACACACATGATTGATTCTAATACTTTAATAATTTAAAATTATTTCTTTATTCATAATTATTTTCAAATTTACTCTCCCAAATAGAATAATAGAATATATTTAAAATAATTCATATAAATTGTAACAATGTAAAAATTGTTTGAATTATTTCTATAACAAATGTTAAATTTTTTATAGAATAAATACATTAAATGAAATGCTCTTTTGCTTTTTTTTTTTTTTAAATAATAAACCAAATGAAACTATTGAATCAAAGTGATGTAAAGTAGATCATTAGCCTATATCATTTTTCAGTATATATTTATAAACATAATTTATCTTTGTGTTGGTGAGATATTTCTGGAGAATTGATGATTGTTTAATATCACTATTATTAAGACAATTAACTGTATTTTTACATCTATAATTGTTTGTATTTTGTAGATTTATCATCATTCCATCCATGACTTTTGCAGTTATTTAAATAGGCTAAATCAGTATTTCCTAAAAGATTTAATGTTGGAATGACAAAAAATAAATAAAACTGAAAATATACAAAATGTTTTTCTATAATACTAAAAACTGAATCATTATTGAGTGCTTTTTAATATGTTATTTATATTTAAATAATAATTCTTAACTGTTTATCATTTATTATGCATTTTGTTTTGCATTATATATACTTTGTTCAAATGTAAATAGTTGGCATATTTAATATTGGTATTTAATATTGCTATAGGACTAAATTGAATATTTTAATACTTTCAAGCAATTTTCAATAAAATTCAAATATGTTTTACATACAATCCAGTAAAATGTATTTTTATATTTAAACTTATCCCTCTTTATTATATGTATAAAGAGGTAAGTGCATGAAATTATCCAGCAATTGTTTTACTAATAAAATATTTAAATTACAGTAGCAGAAAGTAACAGATCATTGCATGGAGATTTTTCCTCTGTGAATCTAGTGATCAATGTGATCATCATCATCAACAGTTCATGTTGATTACTGGATGGTACTGTACATATGCTTACTTGTTAGTTATCTTGTTACAGGCCTGAATGATTAGTTTGCTAAGTTCCATCACTGCCTGCAGCTTTTTGGTAAAATGTTTTCCATAAGAAATTATATGGGTTTAAATTGGGACAATTCAGGACCAATGTCCATATGCAAACTGATTTCCTAATTGGTTTCACCTATTTATAATATTTATTTTGCTTAATTATGTACTTTATATGATACATTATTTCAAAATAGTGTAAAATGAGTCCTTCTAAATTTGTGCTGCACTGTATATAAAAGCTTTCATAGTATCAAAACCTTAATAAAATCAGTAAGATTCATACAACTTAAAGTTTGTGCTTCTGTTGATGTATTTAAATGGTTTTTTTATAGAAAACAAGAAGGGTACAGAATGTCTGATATGTGAATGAAATACAGAGGAAATAAAGCCATCCTGGAAAAAATTGCAGTAAAAAAATATGGCAAGAGCTGCAAAAGCATTACATTAAAATGGAGAAATGTCTCATCTAAACCTATAGACATTAATGGGAAAATTTGCCAATACATATCAAAATAGTATGTTTTAAATATGAAATTGGAATGTTTACATTGTTTCTGATAAGTTCAATTGTGTGTTACACCACTGTTTACTTTCATGTTATTTGCTTGCAATAGGGACAAGTTAGTCGTATTTACCAATCTATGATTTTGATTTTTATGGAAACTGAAGCAGAGCATTAAAAGAATCAAAAGGAAAATCCACATTTATTTCAAAACTAATTTCAACTCTAATGGCTGAAGTTTTATGTTTGCTTGAATTAAAATGAAATATTCACTTGTTTCTTAAATGGAAAATTTGCAAAGTAATAAACTTTAAAAACATTTAAAAACTACTTTGAATTGTCTTGATGAAATAGAGGTTTTATCCTTTTATAAACATTTTCCTTTATTTTTTGCATTTTTTCATAATTTATTATAACATAAGAAATATTAACATCAAAAAATAGTTTAAAACATAAAAATATAGTTGTTTTCAAAAAATAATGATGATTATGAAAAAGTCAGTCAGGTACTCTAAACGTGTTTATTTTTTTGCAAAAAAATTGGATTTTTTCTTAAATAATTTTAAAAAAATTACCTTTGTTTAAAAAAAATTATTATTGTGAGGAAATTTTACATTTTTGGACATCAAAAAGTCCATTAATTAGCTGTGTTAAAAATAGATCATTCATGCTGTCGGTGATGACTTCAATTTTATTTCAAATAATCAATAACACATACTATGATAACAAGTTTATAATTGTATGTGCTATCCTATTATGATGAGATGTGCTTAGTGTTTTTTGTTAATTTATCAGTTTTTAGTGTTGCACAGCAAATTAATAAGGTTGCATATTTAATTGTTTTTATGATATAATTTGAATTTTTCAAGCCATGTAGTAGTAATTATTGTTTTTTTTTTATCTGTACACTAGTTGTGATTTTCAGGGAAGTTTTAGATCCTGAAAATATTCTGTATCACTAACATATAAGCAATAATTAGTAAAATCATTTTAGAAATTCATAATTTAAGAAAGTAAATTCAAAACATACTTAACAGAATGTATTTTAAATTTACTTACTTTATATAAATATTT